GAGGCAGATTGAGGTGGCCACAGTGAGGGGGGGAGGGGGGCAGGGCTGGGGGCTGGGGCTGGGGGCGTGAGACAGGAATGCACAGCCATAGGGCCCAGCCAGGGAGCCACAGGAGGCTCATATAGGGGGAGGTGGAGGGGCTGGCTCCCCACTACTGCATGTATTCCTGGATAGGGGACATTTACCTCCCCCCCAGATATGTGCACGGGGTGGGGGAGGATGCGGGCTGCCTGCTGTAGGGCCCTGCTGCCCTCCCCCACAGGCCTCCATGGCTCAGCTGGCGGGACCCAATGCAGGAGAGTGGAGTGGGGCGGAGAGGCCCAGTGCCACCTCCACCACAGCTGGGAGCCCCCTGCCAAGTGCACTGCCAAGGTGAGGCACGCCCCGCTTGCGTGGCAGCAGTAGGGGTTGCCTCACTGTGGTGGCAGTAGTGTCACCACTGAGCCTCCCTGTCCAGCAGGGAGCCCCAAACCTACAGTGGGCAGACCACATTTGCTTCCTCTCCCCACAGGCTCTCCTCAGTTCCACTCTGGCTGTGCTGCCTGTGGGGTTGGGGGTGAAGGGGCAGGCTTCATGCTCTGCTCCAGCTGAAGGAGTCACCGGGTCACATAGCCGGTGGGGGTCCCCTCTATCAGGGGTGGCGGGGCAGGGAGCTATGGGTCAGGAGTGAGGGGCACCAGCAGGGCCAAGGGGCTGTCGGTTAGGAGTGAGAGACACTGGTAGGGCTTAGGGGCCTGTGGCTTGGGAGTGAGGGGCAATGGCATGGTTGGGGCAGGGCACCAGCATATTAGGGCTGCTCAGCTCCACAAAGGGAGTGGGGGGAAGGAATGCTGCAGCTGGACCTGCATCCTGGTGAGTGAAGGAGGCGGGGAGCTCTGATTTTTTTTCATGATAAAAAAACCAAAATCAAACACCAAAATATATAGGTATTTGAATTGATTTTTAGTATAATGATTGAGACACTGGTAGGCTTCCAAATTGCTTAAAAATTATAAATACATCAATAAAACATTCTGTTCAACTGATACCTATATATGTATCTTGGTGTTTCATTTTAATCGTTGAAAAATTCCACAGATTTTTGGGTTTTTTAATGAGAGAATTTAGGATTTTTAAACAGAGAAAACTAGGATCCCTGCCGATCACATCCTGAACAGGATTACCTTGCACTCTCCCCTGCAAGCTCTCTCCTAAAGAATGATACCCAATTCTATGCCCTACCAAATGCACTGGACCCCACAGTGACCATGACCCTGATCTTTGAGCAAGACTTGGAATCTTGAAGCATGACAGCTTTCATGACCACCCAAAATGGCTGCCCAGTCTCACTCAGGTGAGGCAGCTGCTGTTCCAGCACCTGAACAATGACAGTTTTCTCTGGTGCTGGGCCCACCCATGACTGGCCCCCACAGAGTAGTGTATGACACTGCCACCTGCCATATTGACTGCCACTAGCTACATTGGCCTTTGAGGGGTGGGGATGTGGGATGGCATAGGGTCACAATTTATTTTACACCTTCATCCCCCCCTGCCATCTCGGGGAGGTTTACCCCTTCTGCCACCTTTCTGCTTATGTGCAGATATGACTAAATAAAACCTTGTCTTTGTGTATCAACAATGCCTTTGGTGGGCAGGGATGCAGGGCAACAAGGGGCTGTGGTCTCTTCTATACCTTTCCTCCCCCTCAGGGTTTACCCCCTCTATCCCATTTCTGCATGTGATCAGATGGACCTAATAAAAGCATTTGTTTGTGTATTTTTGTGTGTGGATGCCCTAAAAAGCTGTCCCAGGTGGTTGGACCCTGGTTGCACAGGCGGGAGCTCTACCACGCTCATCCCTAGGTACTGGTGCACAGAAGTCAATTGGCAGTAACTAATATCCCTGGCCTAGGGTGAAGATGGCCCCTTGAAATGTACTGAAATACCTCAGGGCATGTGAAACATACAGAGTTGGGGAGGTGAAAAGGAGGGGGTGGGCTGCAAGCTGCCATTGCTAGTCAGGGTGGTTTGGGGATGGAGTAGGGCTGATGGATTGGGTTTCCACTAGGGGTGCACCGATTAGAGATTTTTTTGGGCCGATACTGATGGCTGATTTTTAATGAGCCATATCAGCCAATACCAATCTGATTGCCGATATGTAGCTGGGCGGCTTGGAGAGCAGCGTCTGCCTGGTAAGTCTGTGCGGGAAGGGGCAAGGGAGGAGGGAAGGGATGGGTGGGCAGATCAAGGTTCCTGTGGTGAGGGAGGGAGCGGGGCTGGGGCTGGGGCAGAGGCAGGTACTGCACAGCTGGGGTGGAGTGCAGGATGGAGCCTTGAGTGGCTTGTCCATTGGGTATGGCGGGGGGTCCCTCTCACTGTTATGCACACCCCAGGAGGGCATGGGGTGTGCCCCCGGATCTGCATGTGGGGTGAAGGCAGGCAGCTGCTGTGGGCTGGGGCCGGGGTGGCACCGGGCTCTTCCCAGTGAGGGGCTAGACCAGGCAATGCTCGGGATGGGCAGCGGTGGCATTGGGATGGGGGCTATGTGGGGGGCTGTTGCCCCCCTTCCAGCACCACCACTTCCCTCCCCAAGTGTAGCCCTGGCTGTCCCCGGCCCCAGCCTGCAACAGCAGCCTGCCCTTGCCCTGCACATAGATCTGGGGGCAAACATTCCCTATGCCCTCTGAGGGTGCGTGCAGCGGTGGGATCTGCCCCATCTATGCCTCTGCCTCTGCCCCTGCCCCAGCTCCACTCCCTCCCTCACTGTGAGGGCCTTGATCTGCCCCCCCCCAATGCCCTTCCCTCACAAAAGACTTGCCAGCTGAACCAGGATGCTCTCTATGCTGCAGGGCTGCACTCGTGGTTGCCTGCATGCTGAGCTGTGGCTGTGCGCATGCACAGGGCATTTATCGGTGAAATTATTGGCCACATCAGCCAAAAAGCCAATTGCTGATACTATCAATTTTTCTTACATTGGTCCCGTATCAGATTGGCACTGATATATCAGTGAACCTCTAGTTTCCACTGATGGCTTCTCCTGCATGAATTGACCCTTAATTGAGTTAACTCTAACTGGCCCAGCCATTGAGTGCCTTAATTGGCCCATCAAGCCCATGTACAATTGCTGTGGTCCAAGCACCAATTCTCATGTCCTCTGCATTGCACAGGACACAATGCTCACTCCCTTCTGGTGAATCCCAGGGCTAGGGGGCAAGCTGTACTGATTGCCACCCTTGTACCTAGGCACTTTACTGAGCTATGTGCCACCTTCAGAGCAAGCCCTGAGTCACCCCCAAGCCAAGAGACACCCCACCAGTCACCTTTTCCCCTAATGTTGCTGAAACTTACCAGTGGCTGTTGCTGAGTTGTCCGTGTCTACCTGCTTGATGAGATTCTCACCCAAGGTGTTTCTATCTTGTATATCCTGGCTGTGGTTCTGGGTCAGAGTAAGGATCTGGGTAGGGAACAATTACACTGAACATGCATCCTCATGCTCCTCCATGGCCATGTAAGCATCCATTGTCATTGTCACAGTCAATATTGTGCCACACTGGGCCCATAGATGTGTAGTGCACAGTATGGCAGGGAGTGATGATGTGGTCTGCCTCAAGGATCTCAACGTCTCTTCCCACTAGGGGACCATGATCCTTGTGGCAACAGAAACCTTGTTAGCATCCCTGTCCTGAGCATACTGCGGCTTCATGCTTTTGATTTTAGTGCAGATCTGCAGCCAGTCCCACTATTGTCCCCAAGCCACCATCTGAATCGCAATGCTCTCATAGATCACCTGGTTTCAATGGTTGCCCTTCCCACCCTTGGAGGTGGTGCCAGTGGCTCTCTCCTTGCCCCCAATCATGATGAGGTCATCCTGTCACAAGTCCAGTCCATGGGCCTCTTGCAAGGGGTCCAAAGAGGGCATTCTCTGGTTTGTTTTGTTTTGCCAAACTAGGTGTTCACTTTCTGCACTGGAGTGTGTGAGCAAAGATGGCAGGCTTCGGTGAACTTCAGGCTTTCAATGGGTTCCATGTGAGCTGGGGAGTTATCTCCTAGTGGGTGGTGGGGTTGGTACCATCTGCTGGGGCAGTAGAGTTCAGGCAGGTGCATAGATCAATCCTTGAAGTAGGGGGGAAAGGGGGGAATGGTGCATCCTGGGAAGCTGGAGGACTGCAAATTTTTCATAGCATCTTTATGGATGGATCAGGCTGACAGTACAGGTGTTACTTAATAATATCTAGAGATACTCCTTGCACAAAAGTCCTAAGTTTGCTATGGTACAAGTGCATTTAGTATGTGTTTTACTGCTTGAATCAGTGGACCCATGTGTTTTAAGTGCATTCAGTGTGTACTAAGTGTCCTGTGCAACATGGCCCTGAGCTGGGACATGGCTGGTCTCTCACAGGTGAGACTGACCCCACCTCCTTTAACAGGCCAGGCACCTTGTGATAGGCTGCAGCATTGACTTGCTGTACCAGTTTATACAGGTGAATATCAGGCCTGATATGCTTAAGTTTTGCAAATATTCAGGTCATTTAGTGCTCATTTAATACTGTGAGTACCTTCTGCCCACATTGCAGCATGCTGAACCCTTTCTTCCCAGGGTAACTCCAGTCTACTGTGTAAATAGTGATGTTCCATGTTCATTACAGATGTAATGGCATGGAATAGTAATGCTTTGCACGTTCACTGAAATTTTGTTAAACTCACAAACTCTGGGTTTGCAATAAATATCTGAAGATGCCATAGTAATTTCCCCAAAGACTAAATTCTTGATATGGAATCCTCAAACCCAGCTCAACTGCAGAATTATCTTCCACTTCTTGAGACTAACCTGAGAGCATCTCAGTTTCTTTGCCTGCGGATTGCATTGAACAATCTGGCAAATGCATTGGAGATGGCTTAAAAATTGCATTTCTATCAGAGGCATGTTCCTGGTTGTACAGTGTAGTTGTGAGAATCCTGAGTTTTGCATGTGAATGGCTGTGGCTATCTTACTGATCATTTTGTTTGAATTCTTTTGTCTAGTCCAATTTTGCCATGGGTCGCCTACCTTCAACCTACAGGAAATGCTACATGTTAGACTTTGGTCTGGCTCGGCAATACACCAACACCACTGGGGAAGTCCGGCCCGTAAGTGACATCTTTTCCGTCTCTGCTTCCACTAAGGCAAGGAAAGGATTGTTGTTGTGTTGTTTATCCTTGTTATGCTGGTTCATGTACTTGAACTCTGTCTTTTAAAGAGTCAGGAGTGGGAGGAGACTGGAGGATGGGCTTGATTGAGCTTGGAACAAGGACATGTTGCAAAATATCTGTAATTTTTTTTCTTAAGCTAATAGTATTTCCCTCACACGTGAAATATTTGCTGAATGCATGCTGGCCCGGAGGAAGGGGTGGAGGGAGCATGCGCTGTCCCAGTGGTAACCCCAACTCCAGTAGAACAGTCACACTTGAGAACTTTCAACAGTTTCTTGGGGAACAGGGCTGGATATCCCCTTTAAAGCTGTTGGATGGAGTCAGAATAAGCATATTAAGGGAGTTCTGTTCTCTGAAAGATAGACATAAGCTTCAAAAAAGCTCTGGGCTTTCACAGCTGTCAGGACATCTGATCTTTACCCTAGCTCTCTGCTTTTGTGGCCATTGCCTGATTTTGGATTTTATGGGCAGGAGGATTTTGGTATGCTTGCTTGGGAGGACATGAGGGGAAGTAACTTGCTGCACATAATTATATATATTACTAGCAGATTGCCTGTCAAGCATGATGGGGGTGGGGGAGGGGGCAGAGGCCTGCTTTGGCACCCCCTGCCACCCCAGGTTGCGGTCTGACTCTCCCCACTTCCCCACCCTCGCTGCCTCGGGTTTGGGCCCACTCCCTCCCTTCCCCGCCTGCTGCTTCAGGCTCAGGATCAATCCCCTCCTCCCTCCCCCCACCTGTCATTTTGGGTCCGGTTCCCCCCCGGCTGCTTGGTGCTGGCCCAGGACTGGGGTAAGGGGGGGAATGGTGAGCTTGCACACGGCAGCGACCAGTGGCTGGTGGGTGGCCATGGTAGGAGCAGGCAGCAGCAGCAACGGCAGCCAGGGCCCCCTCCCCTCCCTCCCTCCCTCCCCTCTTCCCCATTACCTCCCCCTCCCTGCCTGTTGTTGTTCAGGGTGGCCGTGCTCCGGCCCCTCAGTCCCTGCTGTCATGGCAATGCTCCTCTGTGTGGGGGGACAATGCCAGTGCTGCGCCACCAGCACCCTGTGTTGCCATTGCCTTCAATGAACAGGGCTGGGGGGGAGGAGCCAGGCCAGTGCTGCTGGCCTCACCTCCCCACTCTGTTCTCTTTGTCATCGTGTTGCTCTGGTCCTCGCTGTCCCCCTCTACCTCCAAGGAGTGGGGGTGGGGTGAGGCCAGTGCTGTTGGCCTTGCCCCTCAGCTCTGCTCCTTCAGACCCTGCTGTCATGGCAGCGCTCCGCTGTGTGTCTCTGTCTGTTGGAGCACTCTGATTGGCTGCCAAGACAACCAGTTAGAGTTTGAATAAAGCATTACGAACAGACAGACAGACAGACTAAGGCTTTTATAATATTAGAATTATCAGGTCATTTTGGGGGGGTAAGCCATGAAGATATAACATCCTCCAAAGCAGTATGTAACTCCAGATTCTACTACATTTCACAGTGAGCACTGCTACTTTGGTCTCGGAACAAGTTGCTTTCCACTGTCAGAACGAAAACATGGAGAGCTCTAAGAATCTGTCTGCCTATCTTCCCAGCAGTGCACCTTTTGGCTCTATGTCCTCACCTGTCCATGGTACCTCTGGTGTTTCTACAGTGTTAACAGTGCGAGGGTTAGACTGAAAGTCCATCTTTAAGGCAAGAGAAGATGATGGAATAAGGAGAGGAGCTGTTAGCACCTCTTCTTTGTGAGTCTTGCTCTGAGCAAGACTCACATTTAATCACTGAGGAGTTCAAACACAGCTGCTACTTATTTGTTTTGGATTTTTGTTTAATAATATATTCCTTTGTAAAAATCTCTGCTAGGGAATCTATAAGCTTCTTGCTTTGTACTTGAGGGCTGGAGCATGTCCCAAAGGTTATGCTGGAGGAAGGAGGGGGAGCCTGGGGACCTCTAAGGCACCAGCAAGGAAATGATATGAGGAGTGGCAAGTGAACTGGACCTGTGAATTAACCCGTTGCAGACTCCCAGTTGGACAGGCCCAACTTACAGAATGTGCCACCATCTTTCCCTCAGTTTTTGTGTGGATTGGAGATAATGACCATTTTACATGGAGCCCTTTCCAAAACCATATTCCATCCATTATTTCACAGATTCCTGTTCAAAATTCTGACCCCACTCTTATGGTCTCCAATTATTTCTGAAGCTTTCCTTGTGAAATATGGACTTTGGTTTCTCACAAAGTATACCTGGCAGTGGGCTACACCCTGTTTTACTTTGTATGCCTAAATGTCATGTATACTGCCACATAACTGCAGTTGTTAGAACTTATATTATTTGGGATTTAGTTTTACTCTGTGGTGAAACTGAATCACCCTGTTTGCATACCTTCCAGAAATAAAACACAGAAGTATGTGTCCCACCCTTTGTCCCAATGGTTAGAGTATTTGCCTAGGAAGTAAAACACCCAAGTTCTGGACCATCCTTCTGGAGAGATTTTAGCTTGTATTTCTGGCTTCCTTACACAGTGCTATAACCAACAGGACACATTTTCCAAACTTACTGAGCAGCTAGGAGAAGGTGAAATGTGGGACCTGGAGTAAATAATGCAAAAGAGAGAGTAAGTGTTTCAGAGAGATGGTTGGTTCCCTCAAAGGGGTTCTGGGTTCTAGCTTCAGCCCCTGCTCCCAATTAGGCAGAAACTCCCATGGTACTTTTTGTCATGTTTATCCAGTGAATATTAAATGTAAGAGCAGGGCTTTGGGTAATGCCTAGCAAGTGATCTAATGTTTAAAAAGCTCATTTAAACCTCCAGTGGCTAAGGGAGTGGGAGGATCTAAAACCCAGGTCACCTACTCCCTTGGCAGCTGCCCTTACCATAAGGCTACATGGTGGGAGAGTCTTCCTCATCACTTCCAGTATGGACACATGCAGAGTGACTGTTTTACTGTAGGGTGAAATAGAATCCCAAACTATGCATAAATGGCCAAAACTGGAGTTACATGGTACTGTGCATGCCAAATACATGCCAAACATATTTATGTCCACAGTTTATTTCTTGTTAGCTCAATTATGTTCTCTTTTTGTAAACGGAGAGCCATTTTTTCATTTGGTTCTTGCTTTGAGTTAATTTTCTTTTCCTGTTATTCACTTTCAAACAACATTCCTGGCTTCTTTAGAAATATATCTAAGTAAATTACTTCAAGGCCACGTCTTTGGGAATGGAGTTACAATCTAGGTTTGCTGGCTTTAAATTTAGAAAGCCCTTCAGGTACATCTCTATGAGTATGCAATATGTCTCAAAGAAAATAGTTGCTAGGACTGGTGCTACATCTGGACCATACAATAGAACGTTGGGATCTAGGACTCTACATGAAGATGCAGTGCTATTTTACTCACCCTGTTATGAGCGTGCTGAGTTGAGAGTGATCTGAGGGCTCCGTTTGTCCCCAGAAGACAATTGTTTGTCCCCAAACACCAGTTTAACTCCCGTCCCAAACCCACACTCAAAGCTGGGGATGCAATGATGAAAATAAAAAACTCAGCAATACAAATGTTGACTTTGGTTCCTTTTAATAGAATCATAGAAAATCAGGGTTGGAAGGGACCTCAGTAGGTCATCTAGATCAATCCCTTGCTCAAAGCAGGACCAGCCCCAACTAAATCATTCCAGCAAAGGCTCTGTTGACCAAGGCCTCAAAAACCTCCAAGGAGGGATATTCCACAACTTCTCTAGGTAACCCATTCCAGTGTTTCATCACTCTCCTAGTCAAAAAGTTTTTTCCTAATATCCAACCTAAACCTCCCTTGCTGCAACTTGAGACCATTGCTTCTTGTTCTGTCATCCGTCACCACTGAGAACAATCTAGCTCCATCCTCTTTGGAGCCATCCTTCAGGCAGCTAAAGGCTGTTATTAAATCCCCTCTCAGTTTTTTCTCTTCTGCAGTCTAAATAAGCCCAGTTCTCTTCTCAGAAATTATGTGCCCCAGCCCCCTAACCATTTCGTTGCCCTCTGCTGGACATTCTGCAATTTGTCCACATACTTTCTGTAGGGGGGACCCAAAACTGGACACAGTGCTCCAGATGTGGCCTCAGAAGTGCAGAATACTTCCCTTGATCGCTGGCAATGCTCCTACTAATCCAGCCTAGTATGCTGTTAGCCTTCCTGGCAACAAGAGCAGACTGTTGACTCATATCCAGCTTATTGTCCACTGTAACTCCCTGGTCCTTTTCTGCAGAGCTGCTGTTTAGCCAGTTGGTCCCAAGCCTGTAACGGTGCATTGGATTCTTCTGTCCTAAGTTCAGGACTTTGCACTTTTTCCTTGTTGAACCTCATGACAAATGCACACTAGCAATGCACACCAACTTCAGCTTCAGCCACATGCTGCTCCGGATGGGACGGAGCCAGCCAGGTTGGCACCAGCCAGCAGAAGCGGCGGCGGAGCCGTGTCCCACTCGGGACTGACAGGTAGGGGGAAAGTGCAGCTGAGCCCCTGGTGCTCGGTCTAGGCTCATCCTGTCCCAAGTGGCACATGGCTCCGCTGCCACCTCTCCTTCCTGGTGCTGACTGGGCCGGAGCTGTGGCCCAGCTGCTGCTTCCCCTCCCTAGTGCCAGCCCAGCCTGAGCCTGCATGGCACAAGCGGCATGGCATGGCCCAGCAGCTGCTTTCCTGGGCTTACGTGCAGGGTAGGTCCCTTTCCAGTCCCGTGCAGCAAAGCAGAAGCTGGCCCTTCCCCTCCTTCCCCTCACTGGTGCCACAGGTTCTGGCCCAGCCTCTCAACCCCTCTCAAGCTGCAGGCGTGGCCTGAGCCAGGGGTGGGGCAAGGCCAGCTGGGTCAGGCTGAGGTCAGGGTTGGTTGCCTTGCAACCAGAACCCAAGTAAACAGCCTGAGGTGCTGCAGCTGGTGGCTAGGTCTGCCGGCTGCTGCTGGAGGCTTTTAGAGGCAGGTGCCCTTACCCGGGGTTTGAAGGGGCCC